TACGGTTATCGGAGTATGCAGTTTTAGTCGGAGGACGCTATATTTTTCCAGCGACGAAGAAAATAAGGTAGAATGGAAGTCGGGGTGAGCGTTTTGGCAAAGAATAAAATGCAAAGAAAAGATTTTCTTTTTCTTTTTTGGGACAAAAAACACAATTTTGTTTTATTTTATTTTTAATATATATTTAATTATTATTATTATGGGACCAATGCCCCATGACCTTTTCTAATTAGTTACTATGCCACATCATCTTGAGTGTATGACAATTTCTATTTTTAGTTGATTGTCAAAAAATGTTCAATAGGTATTTTTTTTATTAATAATAGTGTTGAATAGGAATCAACCTAAGATGAGGTGTCCAAGTGAAATCTAGAGACAACTTTTAGTGGATGCAGATGACTTAAGACTTTTATTTTTATTGGGTTGCGAACGAATTCCGAGCATCCAATTGGAGAGTTTAAAGAATGTACCCAAGCTTAAATCTGGTGTAACTCTTTAGCTATCAGATTTTGGGCTTTTGAAGATCATATTTGTGTGTTTTTTAGTGACTAGTGTGTACTTATATAACCTAACTCAGCTTTATTCCTTATTTTAAAAGTGCGATACCTTGAGCTAAAAAGGTCCGATTTGGCAGATTCAAGAGGCTAACTTGAGTGATTTTTTGAGGAGAACATTGCCGTGGTTAGATTTTGTATTTGAAGATTTGTAGGAAGTAAATATTGTGTTTTAGCTGTTGTCATAGCTCATTTTCAAGCTCAATTTTCTAAAAAATTTCGAAGATGATTTCTTTGTTATTTTAGGTCCGAATCTCGTGATTCAAGAACCTAGATTATGGGGATTTTCATGAGGATTATCATAGTATGATTGGTTTCAGCATTTGGACCCTAATTTCTGGTAGTTTCTTGTAAATAATTGCTTCGATTATTGTTCCTTTTTAGTGTGATCTAGGGTTTTTCGTTGCATGTTCGTGTTAGGACTGTCTCGAGTCCCTAATTGTGTTTTGATTCAGAGCACAAGTTTGGGGAGGTATTTAAGAACCTATTTTTGGGGATAATTCTGGAATTCTTTGTGCGGGTCCCACTTTTCCCGTTTTGACCCTAAAATTGATCCGTCTCTATTTCTTGCGATTTTAGTGTCTAAACAACTATAATAACATTGTGACTCTATTTTTAATAGTGCATTAGCATTTTGAAACCGTTCAAAAAGGAAAAGCTCTAGAAAAGTGATTTTTGAAGCGTGCGTGATCTGCCTGCAGGTTTGCTACGATTTTCTTTTGTTAGATTGAAATCAATCAAGTGAATGCATGTTGATTAGTTGGGATTTGGGTTAGATAGTTATTGAATCATGCATAGGTGTTTAGAAATTATGTTTTTGGCCTATTTCAGGAATTGTCGAGTAACTGTAAGAATACTGTGTTATTAATTGACCCTCTTTGCTCTGTGGAGTACTTGTTTGTTTGATAACTATTTATTTGAAGCATGTTGGGCCTTAGTTTATGTTTGACTAGGGCTTGCTATAGAAGTGCATGATTCAAAATCAGTAGGACATAGTTTTGCTTTGACGTTGCTCGATTGACTTAAATATTTGTAGAATGGTATAACAAACTTAAGTCTTATAGTTTGGGCCTCATCTAGGCGATGAACTTTCTCTGGTGATAGTTATCCTTAATTTTTTGGTATCATGACTTCAGGAGTTACGCCGGTTACACTGAGTTCCTAAACAATTTGAAGTTAGTTTTCAATTTGGTTCCAACGAGTTACATTGATTGGATAAGTGTTGTGGCGTTTAACGAGCATTTATGATTATGAATAGATAGAGACTATTTTAGCAGTTATATTGGCACCTTTGTCGGGCACCCGGACTCAAGGCCCGACCTCAACTTCATTGATAATTTCTGAGGAGCATTCGGTTCAAGGTCCGACCTCGATCACCCGCTTACTTATGTAGAGAATCCAGTTCAAGGCCTGGTCTCAATCACCCACATTCTTATGTAGAGCATCCAGTTAGAGGTCCGTCCTCAGTTACTTATACTTGTGATTGGCTACTTCGGTACTTCTGGTGAGTATATGGTTCAAAGTCCGACCTCCGTACCGTCAGATTCTACTAATTGGTTTTGAGATTTTGGTTTTATACTCAACCCTGGGTTCTATTTTCTTTAGTTATAGTTATTCTATGTCAAGCTTCCGTTCGAGTTTTCATTTAAACTTGCGCACGAGTGTACCTTCAGGGCTTATGGGTTCCAGTTAGCTTTATATTACTTTAATTAGTTCTTTCTAAACTCGTGTGCATTCCATTATTATTTAGACTTCCATTCTTGACCTCTGGTTTTGTTATCCCTTATTTTCATATTTCTATACTTTTCTAGTTTAGTCGGCCTATGGTGCCTACTGGGTACCTTTTGTTTCATACTCATGCTACGGTTTGCATCTATTTTTGTGATGCAGTTCAGAGCACGAGTAGCTAATGTTGATCGAGTTTGGAGCAGTCTGATCTGGACACGGGGGTGAGCACACAACGTTCTGTACTATTTTACTCTCCATCTCTCTCTTTCTCTCTCTCTCTCATACTACTGGTGGATTATAGTAGGTGCCATCATGACACAAAATTTTTCAATGAATGTAGACATAAAAATGATTGGCCAAAATGAAAGGACACAATTCAAGCGGAATTTAATTCACTTGAAAAACGTATAGTTTTTTTGACCAATAGTCTGACCTGAAAGTGTCAATTCAGTGGGGGTACAAATGGGTTTTTCTGCAAAAATAAAATGAAAAAAAAGAAGTCTTAAGATATAATGCATGACTTGTGACACAAGATTTCTCGGGAAGGCCTGATATTGATTATGTGGAGACATATTCTCCTGTAGTAGATGCAATACCTTAGGTATCTAATAATTTTTATAGTTCATGAAAATTTTAAAATGCAACTAATGGATGTTGTCACGACCTGTTTATATGGCTCATTAGACCACGATATTTTCATGAACGTACCTAAAGAATACAATGTCCAAAACATATTAATTTTAACAAGAGCATGTTCGATAAGGCTTCAGAAATCCTTATATGGATTGAAACAATCATGGCAATGTGGTACAATCGTCTGAGCCAATTTTTTTCTAAAGGAAGGGTACAAAAATGACCCTATTTATTCTTGTGTTTTAATAAAAAAGGTTGGATCTAATTTTGTTATAATAGTTGTGTATGTTGATGATTGAAATATCACTGATAGTCCTAAAGAGCTTTCAAAAGTTGTTGAGTGTTTAACAAAAGAATTTGAAATGAAAGATCTCAGTAAGATATAATTTTGTCTTGGCATATAGATTGAGTATTTGAAAAAATGAAACATTTGTTCATCAATCAACATACATAGAAAATGTTTTAAAGAGATTGTACATGGATAAACCACATCATTAAGTACCCTGATCATTGTGAGATCACTTGACATACATAAAGATCAATTTTGACCTCAAGAAAATGATGAAAAACTTCTAAGCAATGAAACTCCATATCTTAGTTCTTCTTGAGCGCTAATGTATCTAGCCAATAATATTTGACTAGATATTTGTTTTGCAGTAAGTTTATTGGCAAGATTCAACTCTCCAACAAAAAGACATTAAAATGGAACAAGCATGTATTCAAAAATCTTCAGGGAACCATTGATATGTGAATATTTTCTTCTAATAAATCCAATTTAGATATGATTTGTTATGTAGATGCTGGATATTTGTCTGATCCAAGTAAAAGTCAATCTCTAACAAGCTATTTATTTACATACGGAGGCACATCTATATCTTGGCGTTCAATGAAACAAACATTAGCGGCTACTTTTTCAAATAGTGCATAAATAATAGCCATCCATGAAGCAAGTCGGGACTGTGTTTGGTTGAGATCAGTGAGTTAACATATTGAAGAAATGTGTGTGTTTCCTATGAAAAGGATATTCCAACTACATTGTACGAAAATAATTCTGCATGTATAACTCAGTTGAAGGGCGGATACATTAAAAAAGACAGAACAAAGCACATTTCACCAAAAAAAAATCACTCATGATCTTGAGAACAAAAGTGAAACAAATGTTAAACAAATCCGCTCAGTTAATAACTTAAGGGATCTATTCACTAAAGCATTACGAACCTCAACATTTGAAAAGTTGTACCCATGATTGGAATGCGTCGTCTCAAAGAAATTAAATAATTTTTGCAACAAGGGGAGTAAACTACGTGATGCACACTTTTTCCCTTGACCTAGGTTTTATCCTAATGGGTTTTCCTGACAAGGTTTTTAACGAGGAGGCAAATAAAACGTATAACAAGATATCTGTACTCTTTTGTCCTTCACAATGATTTTTTTCCCACAATATTTTTTCTTAGTAAGGTTTTTATGAGGCATATTTTATATCAATGGTCATCAAGGGGGAGTGTTGTAAATCATTTTGGTGGTTAATTGGATGACCATAAATCCTTGGTTAATTCCCTTGTTTAGGAGTAGTAACGTTGTTGATAATGTGGTCAAATAGAGGATCATAACTCCTAGGTTAATTTCAACCTTTATTGGTACTAAGGTTGTTTATAATGTGGTCAAATTGAAGACCATAATTCTTAGGTTTTTTACTCCTTAATGGTTAGTAATTCTCATGGTTTAGTGTAATGTTTATGATACCCTATGATATTCCTATGTAATCCTATAAATAGTAGTGTTTATAATAATGTTTAATGCACTTATAAGAAAAAATAATAGCTTATATTGTTCCTCTATTGTCTTATATTCTTCTCCCTTTCATCTTTTTGTTTTTCTTTTGTTCTTAAGTTTTATAACAAGACACAAATAATATGATATACAATACTATACTATTTCCCTTTTTCTTTATCATGTTATTCTCTCTATTCTGTTCTCTGTCTTCTTTTGTTACTAGATAGTGATGGCCTTGCTAAGAACAGGCCCAACATTTTGCATTCTTATTTACTGGGAAAGCAAGAAGCATAATAGGAGAAGTCAGATTAGTTGGGTTTCGCAGGAACCTCGTAGCATTAAACATGAATTGTGTTTGGAGGTTCAAAGACTTCTACAATATTAATCGGTTACATGCCCAAATAGCTTATTATAAAGAAAAGAAAAGTATTGGTAGAACTTGATCTTGACCTTGTTGTCTCAAAAGTATTCCCAGCACTTAGACCTGAACCCAACAAAAAGGAACCAAAAGAAAAAAGGGAAATAAAAGGATGTAAAGATCTAGAAGATAAACATAAAAGTCAATCAAGTATAAAAGAACAAAGAATGACTATAAATGATGTGATGTTAAGTACTGACAATTTGGTCACAAAGTAGGCCTCAAGTTTGATCACACTTCCTTTATGAAAGCTCTCATTGTATCAAGATCTTGGTAGGTAAGATATCTTTGTTAAATTCTCAGGTAGAGATTTAGAGATGTATAAGTGACCACCCTTGATGATCAAAGCTCAGCAACAAAGGAAAATTCCCATATTCCTGCAACGTTAAGCATTTAAGGTTAGTCAAATGCAAGCAAATAAAATATAAGATACTAGATAAACATAAAATGAATGAGAAAATCAAATTTTAAACTTGAAATATTAAACTAAAGTATGATAATTTAAAATTGGGAAAATTCACAAGTACCCCCTCAACCTATGCCTTAAATCTCATAAACACAATTATACTATACTAAGGTACTATTACCCACCTGAACCAATGTGAAGACGATTTTTCTTCACAACCTGACGGCTTCAAAGTAGATGGTAAAGAAAATTTTGTGTGCAAACTCTCAAAGAGTCTATATGGCCTAAAGCAAGATCGTAGACAGTGGTACAAGAAGTTTGAATCATTTATGGGGGATCAAGTCTATAAGAAGACTACGTAGATCATTATGTATTTGTACAAAAATCTTCTGACCATGATTTTATCATCCTTTTATTGTATTCCAAGATTGACGAGTTGAAGAAAGATTTGTGCATGTCTTTTTGTATGAAAGACTTGGGTCACGCCAAACAAATTTTGGGCATGAGAATTACTCGTATCAGAGATGAAAGAATGATTTATTTGTCCCTGAAAAAGTACATTGAACGTGTACTTGAGCACTTCAATATAAAGAATGCTAAGCCTGTTAGCATACCTCTTGCTTGTCATATGAAGTTGAGCAAGAAGATGTGTCCTACAGATAGGGAGGAAAAAGAAAACATGGCCAAAGTTTCATATTCCTCCGTCGTGGGAAGTCTAATGTATGGAATGTATGCACTAGACCTGATATTGCTAACGCAGTTGGTGTTGTTAGCAGATTTCTTGACAATCCGCGAAAAGAGCATTGGGAAGCTGTGAAGTGGATACTCAGGTATCTTAGAGGAAGCTCAGATGAATGCTTTTGTTTTGGAGCATCAAATCCAATCTTGAAAGGCTATACAGATTCTGATATGGCAGTTGACCTTGATAAGAGAAAAAACACTATTGGGTATTTGTTTACTTTTTTAGGGGGAGCTATGCCATGGCAGTAAAAGTTGCAGAAGTGTGTTGCCCTATCTACAACTAAAGCTTAGTATATTACGGCTACTAAAGATGGTAAGGAGATAATATGTTTAAAGTGATTTCTTCAAGATCTTGGTTTGAATCAAATGGAGTATATTGTCTATTGTGACAGCCAGAGTGCAATAGACTTGAGTAAGAACTCCATGTACCATGCAAGAACAAAACACATTGACGTTAGATTTCATTGGATTGGTGAAGAATTGTAGAGTGAATCAATTCAAGTCAAAAATATCCACACAAGTGAAAATCCAGCAAATATGTTGACCAAGACGAAAATGAAAGACAAGTTTGAGTTATGCAAAGAACTTGTAGGTATAACGCTTCCTAAAGAAAATGATGATACCTCCTTTTAGTGAATGGGACTGGAGGGGAAGATTTGTTGTGTCCATCTGATTTCTTGGTCAACTTTTGCTATTCAATTGCTACAAGTAATTGTTAAAAAAAATTAGTGCTTAGAGTTAAAAATAAAAGATTTGGTAGTTGGCAAATTGGTAAGATTTGAAACCCTTTTTTGACTTTGCTATATTTACGTATGTCATTAGTGACATAGGCATGATTTTTTCCTTCTATAAATAGAGTATTCTTGCTCAATTGTAGACACACCAAGTTTGAGAGAATAAAACATTTTGAGAGCAAAGTGAGGTATTTCATATACTATACAAGAAAAATAGTATGTGAAGAAAAATAGAGTGTGAGTGATATTTTAGTAAGATGAAAACCAAAAGTGTGTTGTTCCTTTTGAGTGTGTAGTAGTCACTTTGAGTATTGTATTTGTGACTACACAATATACAATTCCTTATTATAGTGATATCAGTTTCTCCACTTGGCCCGTGATTTTTTCCTTATTTAGAAGGGTTTTCATGTAAAATTTTTGGTGTCATTATTTTCCCATTTTATTTCCATTACTTTTACCATATATATTTTTATGGGTTTCCGTGTTTTCCTAATAATATGCATGTCACTTCTTCCTGCTTTACATCTACCCAAAAGATGTAAAAGTAGTCAATAACTCTATCATCTTGCCGATGTCCCTGAGTCTTTTAAAATCTATGTAATGCCCTTATATGTTGACATTCTTATTTTGAGAAATTTTTATCTTGATAAAAATAATATTTACAATTTAATGGAGTGCTGAAAAAACTGTACATTATATTAAAATTTTCTCGCTAAACATACAGTTAAACTAATAGCAACAACTTGCAGTTGAAATAGATGCAAACAAAGGATAAACCATTTCTTGGGAAAAATATATATAAAAAACACACATCTAGTAGAACAAAGCATGTACCTTTTGGATCATTCACGTAGAAAGGAATACATAGTAGAAAATCTGTAGAAAAACAATAAAAAAAAAATTAGTTAGTTTAGGCATACTATTAAACACCTTAAGTGCCTCACTTAAATCGAATTAGTTGTTTCAACTACAAAATAATTGTTAAATTTTTTTCTAAAAAAAGCATAGGCACATCAATTTATATAGATTTTAACAGCAGAAACGAAAAAATAAATTTATAAAAGAGACTTTGAGATAGAATTTGCATGTATCCAAACATGCATGAGTAAATTAGAAAAAAAATTGTTAATATGCAGGTTTAAAATCTAACTAGAGACAATCTAAAACTTGTTATGATGATTACAATCAAAAGAAGTGCACTAAAAAAAATAATAGGGAAGAGATACATCAGCACAAAGAGCACACATTAAGAAGAATGAACAATCAAGGAAGAAGAGGTGAAATTTGAGATTCCAAAATAGAAAAATTAATTTTCATTGAAAAAGTAAAATGGAGAAAGAGGAGATAAATGACCAAAACAAATGACAAAGAAACTATTAGAAGAGTGAAGAATAAACCAAAGTTGAAAAGAGAAGGATGATAGAAATCTGTAAGATTGTCTATTTCCTATGTGAAGTAGTACGTTTTGCTAGAAGACAATAGACGTGCTAGAAGGAAAAATAAGAAAAACTAAGTTTGTTGTACAACTCAGAAATTCTTTTGTACAATTTGCTTATGTTGTATTCGTCCTCTAATTTGTCATTTCTAATAAGGAGTAGATTTATTTTCTTTTTTATTGATTTAATATTAATAATTAGAACAATTTTATTAAAAATTAGTTTTTATACATTGAACCTGAACGTGCAGAATTCCTTTATCTACCTATAAACAATAGTTATTGAAGGTGTACATTTGCTTAGTAATTAAAGTCATTTATTTCCTTATTCGTTGATTCTTTCAGCTTCCCCACTAATAGAAATCCCCATCTTTATTCTTTATTTATGTCATCGTCCACATCAATAATAATAATAATAGTATTACTCTATTGTCTAAAAATAGTTATTAAATTGTAACATCAACTTAAATACAAGTAAGATGTTACTCACTTGACTAATTCTAATGAATTACTCTAACAACTTGTTATGTAACTAATTTGACTAACTCTAAGGAACTACTTTAACAGCTTAATCTAATCTTCTAAAAAAGATCAGTCAAACAATTTGAAATAAATCTACCTCTAATAACCTGAGAACTATTGATAACTGAATCTACTGTGAGTATCTCAACACACACCCTCAAGTTAGGTTTGGTAAAACAACACCTAAACTGATAAAAACCGAAGAAAGGAAGGCTTGGGCAACGACTTTGTGAGACTGTGAGTAATTTGATCCACGGTGGGAAGATATTTGAATTCACTCTGGCGGATTACACACTATTGCGGAGTACTTAAAGTTTACATCAATATGCTTCATCTTAATGTGGAAGAATGGGTTTTTGCTTAGATATTCAACAACAATATTATCACAAAACATTCTTGGTGTTTGTGAGACTTGGTATCGTAAATAGTTCAACAAGTTTTAGACCCCCAGTAATCTTAGAGAGTACATTGGCTACAAACTTATATTATGCTTCAGCGGAAGACCGAGCAACTGATTGTTGCTTCTTAAAGGACTAATAGATAGGATTTAATCACATAAACAATATATAACAAGATATGGAGATTCTGTCAAAGGGACTGCTCATCCAATCAACATCGACATGCAGATATAGATTTTTATCACGTGACGAGATATTTGCAAGCACAATTTTGCTAATGACTTGAGATATTGAAGAATCCTCTTTACTTCTTTGCAGTGCATCATAGGAAGATAATTTGTTAACTACAAATGCAATATTATGAAGCGTGAATGATAAGTATTGCAACTTATCCAGAGTGTGTCAATACAAGGTTGTATCAACATAAGGTAAAAATCGCCTGCTCTGGGTGATGAACTTGAACACATGGGTGTCGTAACCGATTTGTAGTGTCATATCCACTTTTGAAATAATCTCAAGTATGCATTCATTCTATGATAAGGCAATCTCATTCAGAGCATGTTTAACTTCGATCCCTAAAATGTAGGTGAGTTCAACAAGGTCCATTAAGGAGAACTTGCCAGCTACAGTGTCGATTACATGTGAAACAAGGGTTAGTAACCCCAATAAAAAGGATATCATCAAGATACACAAGAATATGCATAGTGACAACCTCAGATGTGAAAATAAATAGAGAGACATCTGATTCAGACTCAACAGATCTAACATTAGTCAAGTGAGACTTCACAACCTTATACAAGGCATGTGGTACTTGTTTTTAGGTCATACACAACCTTTTTCATATGACATACATTGTCACATCCGGGAATACCCCCTAGACGTAAGCGACATCGTCATCCTCTTTAAGGACTAAGACTAGCCTCTTAACTTACACCAAGCGAGACAACTACCCATGAACCTTTATCAAGTCAACAAGAACACTGACCAAGCAAATACCCATAACCTTACTCAATCAAGTAACCTAACAAGAATCATGACTAAGTTCCTACTTCACATATCATAACATTTAAGAGTCCATAGCATCATACTTTACCAATATAGACAAACACATATTCATAAGTGACACCAATCAACATATAATATCAATAATGTCCAAGTTTATCATATACATGTCATATAGAATTATAAGCATATTCATACATAATAACATCCTCCTAAGACTCCCTTCAAGGCTAAGTAGTGCAATTTTTAGGTAGAGTATCATACTCCTACCTAGACTAAGCTAAACCCCTTAGGTCATCTTAGTTAAGTTCAATCCTTTAGTTCATTTTACTTTTTGGGGATATCTTTCCCTAACCAACATAGACCACATGAGCTAATATGGATCCACACGTTAGTATTCCTATGGGGGAAAGATAATTCAAGAACTAGAAGATATAGATGTAGCCCTCTTTATGATACATGCATTGTAGTCTCCAATCTCAAGTTTACATTAGTGATCCTACCTTCCATATGTGGGAAGGGATACTCCTCACTCTAGTTCACTCGGTGCTAAGCTAGAGTCCCTTTTGAAATGTCTTAATGTCTTTATTAATCATCATAGCTTATTGTAGGTCATAGGGTCTAACCCTTGTATAACATCATCATCATCATAGCTCAATAAGAATTGCATGAGTATTGTCCTTTCATTATAATTCATATAGGTGAAGTTAACACATTAACATTTTAATATCATCTAAGGCATATTGGTAAATTATTCACCATCCATATAACATTTACATCTTAAGCCAACACCTCACGAATCATAGTCAAGACATTTCAATTCAACATCATACAATCCTATTAATCTTATACATCACATACTCCAATAAAATATCATGACCTAATCACAATTAATCACAATTTTTAAGTAAAGGATAGAGATCACAAGACATACCAAGTCTCCTTCATAACCTATAATCAAGGTCTTACCATTAACCCTTAAATAAACTCTATTTGGGAGTAACATCATCATAATTCAATGACCAACTTGATAACAAGGCCAAAAGAATCACTACATCACAATTCAATGCTAGTTCATAGCTTAAGACAAGATATTTAGGTCAATTCATAACATACTAAACCTAGATCACTTCTCAAGAACTAAAATGATAGGACTATAATTCATCCTAATTTATTCATAATTGATGCAACAACATCATATAATAGTAATTAATCCAATAACCAATTCAATTGAACTAATACAATATAATTCATATCAAGATCACAACCTAAGGTTAAGGGGAATAGTTCGTCTTCTACAAACTAGACCAATCCATCAAAAAATAACATAACTTAGTTAGAATACATGTTAATATATTCATAATATCCAAAATAAATCATACATAAATCAATTCATAACATCAATTTCAAGATTGAATGAAACCCACTTGATAACTCAATTTTGGAAATCAATTTGATGGAACTCGTTGAGGAAAGATGCCTCAAAGACGAATTATATCCCATAAATTACTAATTGATGAATATTTATGGTGAAACTTGACTGTTTGAATCCCTTAAACCCTTCCTTAGCTTGGCCTTTAATGGAAATCTTTACTAGAGAGAGAAGGAAGAGAGTTTGGTGTTTGGGAATTATGAGCTTACGTTAGGTTAATTTGGGTTAGGGTGTTTATATAGGTAATTAATTAACTTATAACTTCTTAAAACCCTAACTAATTAATTAGAAAAAACTAAAAATGTGCAGAAAATCAAGCCCTCACAAACGAGACCTCGACCAACGGTTCGTCTCTGAGTCGACGACACTTACCCCTTTCATGTTCTGATCATCGATGAGTTCAGAGATTGGTACAAATGGACCATTATACAAAATGTCTAAGTGTTAGTCAACGGATGGCATCTATTCCCCGTCGATCCACGCACGTTCCGTCGTTCCCCTTATAGGTGAACACTACCCAGGTAGCCTTGACCCCCAAATGCAAGGGTCCTCCTCAACAGCGCTTGGTTGGTCCTTATCGAGTCGTGCACGGAATTTTAGACCGTTGATCATATTAACACATGTTAGACATCCTTCCACCAATTTTCATCCTTTTTTAATTCAAAAAACTAGTCAAATAGGCTAAGGCACGCTACCACCTCATTGAACTAGTTTCCGGACGTCATGGACGTTTTTGGACGTTTTGTTTTCTAAACTTCCTAAATGACTTATAATCATTAGAATGGACCTTAAAACATAGTCTAAAACTTATGACACTTATGTTAGGTTCTAGAACATGTTTTGGATTTTCAAAATGTTCCAAATAACATCAGAACTAGTCAAGTCAGCATGCATATCATGTAATTGAATACATAGTCAAGTAACTCTATCATCAATCGTAAATAACCACAAGCAAGAATAAAATTTCATTATAACATAACCAAAGAAAGACAATTATCCATAAACCCCTATCAAGTCAACATGTGCAATGACCAAGCAAAGTCCCATAACCTTACTCAACCAAGTAACCCAATAAGAATCATGACCAACCTCCTACTTCACATAGCATAACATTTAAGAGTACATATTATAATACTTTAAAAACGTAGACCAACACATATTCATAAGTGACACCAATCAACCTATAGTATCAACAATGTGCAAGTTCATCATATGCATATCATGTACCATTATAAGCATATTCATACATAAGAACATCCTCTTAAGACTTCCTTCAAGGCGAACTAGTGAAATGTGTAGGTGGAGTCCCATAACCCTACCTAGACTAAGTTAAACCCCTTAGGTTATCCTAGTTAGAGTTCGTTCCTTTAATTAATTTTACCATTCGGAACATCTTGCCCTAACCGACATAGACCACATGTTGTAATGTTGAATTCGGTATGATGGAACCATACACCGAAAAAAGGCAGACTACATGCCAAGGAAGTACAAAATATGAACATAGAAACTACGTGGATCCACTAGCCAGTATTCCTATGGTGGCGACATAGTTCAAAAACTAGGAGATGCCGTTGAGACCCTTTTTATGCTACATGCATTATAGTTTCCAATCTCAAGAGTACATTAGTGATCCTATTCCCCACTCTAGCTTATTCCGTGCTAAGCTAGAGTCCCTTTTTGAATTGTCTTTAATGTGTTTATTAATCATTATAAATTAGTGTAGGTCATAGGGTCTA